GACATCAATGAACAAGGCGCCCCAGTATCGCATTGAGTAGACAACCTAACTCCATTCACAAATACTGGTAGCTCATAATGATTGCTTCGATTCGTCTGTTCATTTCTTTCATTAACTGCGTACACGGAATAATCAAATTCGTCTTGCTCGTCAACTGCAGTGATGCTATATATAGAATCGAAAAAATTATTAGAATATTTCTCAAAATGACCCGAATTTTCGTTAATAAATTTAACATTATTATCAATGAAATGAACTTTGTTACGACAAATATTTTCCAAATATCCTATGGCTCCACATTGATGGCATTTACTATTTTTGTATTTACAGCTGTTACTCGTATGATTTTTCCATCCGCAGTGCATGCATGGTTTCTTTGGTTTGCCGTATGTTCCTTTGGTACCGTTGCTGATATTTGTCTTTGCCTTGCCACTTTGTTTGACAAAGCTAACCTCAAAATTGCTCGTACACGTGCTAGTCCCTTGCATCAATATATATTGGGGTTCTTGGAACTACCAAGGGTCATATCTAGTCCCATATCAATCTGGGGAACTTTTTTTTGTCCCAAATGTCATATCTTGGATCCATCTACCACATACAGTATCTTGAAGCAAATATTTTTCCAAATCCGGGGATTTTTACTGGTAACAGATTATAAATTGCGTCACTTTTCATATAAAATGTATGTGGGTCTGGCCAGACCCAAGCGCTACTTATGTGATATGTACATTGAGATGTCCTTGTAACAATCCTTTTATGGGTTTTTTTGTCCTGATTTTTTTTCTAAAATGTTATCAATAAAATTCTAGGAGAAATCATGAAATTTCGAGTAGATATCAAATTTGGAAATATTTTTAAAATAAAATTGAAATTGAAAAAGGTCTAGCCAGACCCTAGCGCTAAACGGAGGGTTAATACCTTCATACTGACGAATTGTGGTGAGTGGTGGTATATCATTCGCTTGAGTTCTCTCGTAATTCGTAAGTGTATTTGGTTTTTTTCGTCGAATGATGTATTTGCTATTTG